AGTTTTAAATTTCAAGCAGGTTCCATGGGAGGAGAAAAAAAAAGCGCATAAAAGCCTAATTATAGGAGAAAAGGGGAGGTGAGGTACATTGCACAAAATGGGAGGATTCAAAACCCAGTCAGGGGTTTTCACATGCAATCATGGATTAAAGTTTAAATTAAAGCAAAATAGTCACTTTTATATTTTATTATATGGGAACGTTTTTTCCCCGATATAAAAAATTAAATTCATTTATGTATATTTTTTTTAAATCTTTTGGGAGTAATAAAAATTTCTTTTTTTTTTAAAAGTGAAGTAATATATTTTTGGTACTCTTAATCACAAAATTTTTAAATTTTGTTAATCAGGGATATTAATTATAATTTTTTTATGTCATCGGGTTTAAAAATTTTTTTAATTTATTTGTTTTTTTTAATTTTTTTGCATATGATTTTAGGATAGGGTAAGTGATTTTAATATATACTGGAGTGTTTTGGGAGAGCAAAATTTATAGGATTTTTTCAAAAAAAATTTTTTTACACGGGGTGTTTATGTGTTAGATTTTCTGCGCCCTTTACTTTTATAGGGGTTTTTAAAACATTATTGTTGTATATTAGGGTAAAATTTTTGTTTTTGGCTCCCCAAGATACTTAAATTTTTTTGGGGTTGATTGTGCTTTTCCAGGGGACATAAACTTTACAGTTTCCAGCCAAGGGCAAGCTGCAATTGACCGATTGTGAAAAATTAAACGGGATTTTTGGGCTTCACAACCACTATTTTACGTTCAAAGGTTAAACCCCATATATCGGGGGTTTGGCCCGGTAATATTTTTTGGGTGATTAGTTTTTTCCCAGGGACAAAAAACTTTCATTTTACACCCAACGGCAAGCTGAAATTTTGACCGTTTGGGTACAAAAAAACGGGATTTTTCTGTTTAAAAAAACCCAATATTGTACGTTAAAAGATTTAAAATCCATTTACACGCCGGGGCTGGCGGGTTTTTTTTTTTGGGTTTGGTTTTGTGCTTTTCCAGTGACCAAAACGTACATTTTCCCAACCCAAAACCGGCAAGCTGAAATTAAACAAATTGTGTAAAAAAAACGGGATTTCTGTGCAAAAACCACTATTGAACGTTAAAAGGGATTTAAAAACCCTTAACCCCCGGCTGGCCGGTAATTTTTTGGGTGATTAGTGCATTCCAGTGACAAAAAAGTACAGTTTACAGCCAACGGCAAGTTTGAAATTTGGGGACGATTGTGCTAAAAAAAAGACTTTTGGTTAAAAAACCACTATTGTACTTTTAAAAAGGGTTTAAAAATTTCCTTTTTTAAATTTTTGGGGTGCTTATTGAATTAAAGGTATGTCGGGACAACACGCAGAGGAGTACCCAGAGGAGGCAATTTTTTCGGGAAAGGCGACCCAGCGTGGCGAAGGGAAGGGGTCGGGGGCAGCACTGGGTCCCCAGCCGAGGCCAGTGCCCCCGGTTTTCATCCAGGGGGTGTGTCTCCACGAACAACCCTGGTCATGGGTTTGGGTTTTGACCCCGGGTCTTTCTTCCTTTTCCCCAGGTCACCTTTGACACCTACAGCCAACGGTGCGGGGGGGGTTTCGTCAGACACAACCTTTTATTTGGGCCCAGGGCCCCGGGGACCCAAGCCCACAAAAAATAATTTACCCTTTCGCCCTCCCCCTGTGCTTTGGTTTTCCCCTCCCAAAGGCGAAGTATGAATGCTGTGGGCCAGCCCCACTGTCAGGAGGAAGAGCAAAAAGGGGCGGTCGGGAAACGGGGGGAGACACCCGCCTCTTCAGCAGCCGGGCGAAAAAAGTACTGGCGAGGAAAAGGGGCTCGGTTTCCCGGTTAGAGCCCAGGTTGTCTCCGGGACCCACACGCGGGCCGGGGAGGGGGCTAGTAGTAGTGACGCGGAGACCCTAATTGATGATGATGAGGCTGATCGCACTTGGCAGCCTCGTCGTCATCAGGCTATTGCTTCCGCATCATCAGGAGAAGAGGGTGCCAGCTTGCCATCAGCGAGCAAAACAGTCGGTGGGTTGCCAGGAGGCAGCAGGGTCGCAGCAGTGTCAGTGGAGCCAAACAAGCCACGGAGTTAGAGCACCAGCTCCACTGCAGCCTACCACCACGGCCAGTAGTGGTGCCGGTGTGCACGGAGGAAAGTAGCAGTCAGCCAGTGAGGAGTAGCGGGGGCAAAGTTTCCTACTCGGCGAGGTGTGTGGCAATTTTTCGTCAAGCCGCCACCGAGGAAGTAAACGTAGCCGATATGTCGACTATGTGGCCAGAAAGTCAAGCGTGGCCAGGGGGCCAATGTTGGGACTACAGCGTCTGTGTCAGCATATGCAGCGTCACCATTCGGTGGCCTGGGAAAACCCGTGATAAAGATACGGCGGTTCTGCATGCCCCAGCCCCCGCTCCATCAACCCGCTCCGTTACTTGCTCCGTCACCCCGACGTCAATCACCCTCTCTATCAGCCAGTCAAGGCTCCAACACCTCTGCTGAGGGGAGTTGTCGCTCGTTGGCATCTTCCGCTCATTCAGATGCTCCTTCTCTTGCTAGACTCCCTCTTCACGGATTCCGTCAGCAGTCTTTCTTGGAATCCGTTTCCAAGAGACAAGCAGTTTGCGAGCACGCACCCGACGGTTGCAGAAGCTGAAACGTCCTCCTGTCCAAGTTGCTGGTGCTGCAGTCCCTCCCTTTCCAAGTGGTGGATCAGCACCTTTCCGAGAAATGATGGCTTGTGCCGAGCCGCGGTGGAGAGTGCCAAGCCGGCATTTCTTCGCCAAAAAAGGCAGTGCCAAGCCTGCATTCACATGTAGAAGAGATGGTGGGGCCAGTCTTTGAGCATGTCGGTTCTCTGCCAAAGTGCACGCAGCGCCGACGTGTGCAGCTGTAACTACGGTCAGGGACAGTACATGTCATTTACGGCCCACTGGGTGAACGTGGTGCCGCACAGCCGCACCAGCAACTTGGACAGGTCACGCCGCTTTTGCCTCCACGTTTGCACGTCCTTGGTCCAGCAAAGATGTCCGCCCTCTACCACCTCTTCTTCCGCCGTGTCTCAGCCGCCACCCCGTGCCAAGTCCCCATTACCGACCGGCATATCACATGTGCAGGGCGCAACGGTGTCACGCTGTGCTGGCACCTGGTATGCCTTGGCGAACGTAGTCACACAGGGGAGGAAATGCTTCTGAGTGTAATGAACAGAGAAATCGGACAGATGGCTGTCTTCCGCGCAAACTGAAAAATCGGAAACCATGTTGACCGGACATTGACGGCAAAAGAACATGGTGTCTGCTCTGCGTCAAGGAAGGTTGTGCATGCGCCATGCATGGCTCACGTGTTCAATCTGGTTGTCAAGCGGTTTCTAAAAATCCACCATCCATCCACTGCAAAGACATCCTTAAAATGTCACGTAACACTTTGCATGCATTTCAGCCATTCCTACACCGCAAAGCACACCCTCCTTGAGCTGCAGCGGCAGAACGGAATTCCACAGCATCTCCTGATCTGCGGACGTTGCAACAAGGTGGAATTCAACCCTACAATATGTTAGACCGGCCCTTTACGAACAGCGATAAGGCATCACGATTTCCTGATGTTACAAGCGGATAAAGGTACTCCCTGTGTAACTTTAGATGTCAGCCATTGGCCAGCTCATGCGTGACACCTGCCACTTGCTCAGGCCTTTGAGGAGGGCCACGCTATTCATGGCAGGACTATGGGGAATGAATGACGTCATTCCTCTGTTGCACGTCCTGGAACAAATGTACTGTTAACAATGGCTGGTTCAGGGGTGCGGTAGACGTGGCGCACAGATCTCAATGCCACATGATCCCCTGTGGGGGCAGGGACAGGAAGAAGAGGAGGAGGTAGAGGAGGAACATTGGTGCTCAGGAATTATTGAGTGAAATGGGTGGTTTTTCCACTCAGCGGGGACAGGAGTGGAGGGAGCAGGAGCATTGGGAGGTGTAGGAGGGGAGGAGGAACCAGAGGGACCCAGACGCACCGTGGCAGTATGCTGTGGAGATGGAGGCAGGGAAGTCCCTCGCATTCCTTGGCACAAAATGGTCCTCCATAGCATGCTCGGTTGCTTGCGTAGCGGGACAGTTCTTGCCGAATAATAACCATCAGGACAGAGGGATGACTTTTGGCTGTCCACCTTGTTGGACCCTCGCTACCGTTTCAAAAATGGTGGCCTTTTTCACACCTGCTGGGAGAGGGAGGCCAAAATAATAGTACTATAAAAACCCACCTATGTAGTCAGTTGGTCTCTGCATTTCTGCGCCAACGTCCATCCTCAGACCACTGTGGGCCCCTGTCGCTCGCGGGAATTGCTTTGTATATCTGTCGCCTTAGGGGCCGCTGTCTGGCGACATAATTTTTTGTCACTGTGTAGACATCTATTTATAGGCCGATGTTTTTGGCCACAAAAATATATTTAGTAATAACCTAGCCGTTCAGGCCGCTCCCTGAACACCTCGGGAATTGCTTTGTATATCTGTCGCCTTAGAGGCCGCTGTCTGAACAGCTCATGAATTGCTTTCTATATGTGTCGCCTTGAGGCCGCTGGCTGGACAGCTGATGAATTGATTTGTATATATGTACTTATTGTCCGCTGTCCGGACAGCTCATGAATTATTTTTTGTATATAGCCTTCCAAACCACTCTCAGAATAAGTCATGATATTCATGCTGTGTATAGCCTTATAGGCCAATGGTCAATCAAGTCATGATTGTTATAGTGTGTATAGCCTTATAGGCTGCTGTCTTTACAACTTTATAATTCCATGCAGTATATAGCCCTATCGGCCACTTTCTGGCATCCAGTTGCTGTAGCCCCCATCACCACACTGTGCCACGGGCCCCTGTACCGCCTTCTCATACTGCTGCCAGATCCATCCTCTGCCATGTGCGTCTTTGTCGTCTGCTCACGCTGCTGGGTTCCAGTTTTAAACCTAGGCCTGTGTATGGCTTCCGAATACTGCTGCCTCCACCGCCACCCTGCGCCATGTGCCTCTGTCGTCTGCTCACGCTGCTGACGGCTTCCGCTTTTTAAACCTAGGCCTGTGTATGGCTTCCGAATACTGCTGCCTCCACCGCCACCCTGCGCCATGTGCCTCTGTCGTCTGCTCACGCTGCTGACGGCTTCCGCTTTTTAAACTAGTTCTGTGTATGTCTTCCGAATACTGCTGCCTCCACCGCCACCCTGCGCCATGTGCCACTTTCGGGTCTCCTCACACTGCTGCCAGGTCCATACTGATTCATGGCCCCCTGTACCGGCTCCTCATGAACGTGGTTCAGCGGGTTTGCATCACTTAACGGCAATCGTTGACAAATGCTGGGACGTTCAGTGTTGTGCGCATTAAGCCAGACACCAAAGGGCAGCACAGACCTGTTATTACTCGCTTAAGCATGGCTGAACAAAACCAGTCTCTACCACAAATTGGACCCAGACCTGCCCAGGGTCTCGTAACTAGATTGCACGGAGGAGTAGAGTCCGTTATCGGAATTAAATAGACAAAACGCCACACCAAAAAGAGTGGCCATTTCCAACACTTATTCCAGAAAGAGGAACAACCCGTTTCATATACGGCCCGTAGACGTTTCACGTCTGCCACATTCAGTCGATTTAAGACGCAAGCTCCACTTCCTGTGGTCTCTGACCGTCGATATACCTTTAAGTGTCAGCTTTGAAGCTATATTCCCTCCGGAGCACTGACACTGGTGCCCTTCCGTCAACATGCCTTTAAGTTTCAGTTTTCAACCATATTCCCCACAGAAGCCAAACTCTTGGGTATCCCAGAAGCTGCTCAGGGCAATAAAGCTCCCAGTTCGCAGGTTGTTCCGTCTTATGGATGGAAGTACGACGGTATATGATCTTCTTCGCACCCACGGCATCACCTCATAGAATCTCTGCATTGCATCTGCAATCACAACGCTGACTTCCCGGATCGCCACTCAGCCATTGGACTCTTGATAGTCGTCTCCCCACACTGCTGCTGGGGGGACTTTTTAACCTAGGCCTGTGTATGGCCTTCAATTGAAGCTGCTTCCGCTCTGCCACTCTGCCATTGGACTCTTGATAGTCGTCTCCCCACGCTGCTGCTGGGGGGGGACTTTTTAACATAGGCCTCTGTATGGCCTTTAATTGAAGCTGCTTACGCTCCGCCACTCTGCCATGGGCCTCTTGGGTATCCCAGAAGCTGCTCAGCGGGTCAGGGCAATAAAGCTCCCGGTTTCGCAGGTTGTTCCGTCTTATGGATGGAAGTACGACGGTATATGATCTTCTTCGCACCCACGGCATCACCTCATAGAATCTCTGCATTGCATCTGCAATCACAACGCTGACTTCCCGGATCGCCACTCAGCCATTGGACTCTTGATAGTCGTCTCCCCACACTGCTGCTGGGGGGACTTTTTAACCTAGGCCTGTGTATGGCTTTCAATTGAAGCTGCTTCCGCTCCGCCACTCTGCCATTGGACTCTTGATAGTCGTCTCCCCACGCTGCTGCTGGGGGGACTTTTTAACCTAGGCCTGTGTATGGCCTTCAATTGAAGCTGCTTCTGCTCCGCCACTCTGCCATTGGACTCTTGATAGTCGTCTCCCCACACTTCTGCTGGGGGGACTTTTTAACATAGGCCTCTGTATGGCCTTCAATTTAAGCTGCTTACGCTTCGCCACTCTGCCATGGGCCCCTGTACCGCCTCCTCTTGCTGCTGCCAGGTCCAGAGTGTGTCATGGGTCCCTGTACGGCCTCCCATTGCTGCTGACTTCATCGCCAGACTCTGCCATGTGCCACTTTCAGGTCTCCTTACACTGTTGGTGGGTTCCATTTTGTGATAGGGTGCTGTATGGCCTTCCATTGCTGCTGCCTCCACCGCCACCCTGCGCCATGTGCCTCTGTCGTCTGCTCACGCTGCTGACGGCTTCCGCTTTTTAACCTAGGCCTGTGTATGGCCTTCAATTGAAGCTGCTTCTGCTCCGCCACTCTGCCATTGGACTCTTGACAGTCGTCTCCCCACACTGCTGCTGGGGGGACTTTTTAACATAGGCCTCTGTATGGCCTTCAATTTAAGCTGCTTACGCTTCGCCACTCTGCCATGGGCCCCTGTACCGCCTCCTCTTGCTGCTGCCAGGTCCAGAGTGTGTCATGGGTCCCTGTACGGCCTCCCATTGCTGCTGACTTCATCGCCAGACTCTGCCATGTGCCACTTTCAGGTCTCCTTACACTGTTGGTGGGTTCCATTTTGTGATAGGGTGCTGTAAGGCCTTCCATTGCTGCTGCCTCCACCGCCACCCTGCGCCATGTGCCTCTGTCGTCTGCTCACGCTGCTGATGGCTTCCGCTTTTTAACCGAGGCCTGTGTTTTGGCTTCCGAATACTGCTGCATCCACCGCCACCCTGCGCCATGTGTCTCTGTCGTCTGCTCACGCTGCTGACGGCTTCCGCTTTTTAACCTAGGCCTGTGTATGGCTTCAGAATAATGCTGCCTACACCGCCACCCTGCGCCATGTGCCTCTGTCGTCTGCTCACGCTGCTGCCAGGTCCATACTGATTCATGGCCCGCTGTACCGGCTCCTCATGAACGTGGTTCAGCGGGTTTGCATCACTTAACGGCAAATCGTTGACAAACGCTGGGACGTTCAGTGTTGTGCGCATTAAGCCAGACACCAAAGGGCAGCACAGACCTGTTATTACTCGCTCAAGCATGGCTGAACAAAACCAGTCTCTACCACAAATTGGACCCAGACCTGCCCAGGGTCTCATAAGTAGATTGCACGGAGGAGTAGAGTTCGTTATTGGAATTAACTGTGAGGGACTTTTAAACCTAGGCCTGTGTATGGCCTTCAATTGAAGCTGCTTCTGCTCCGCCACTCTGCCATTGGACTTTTGATAGTCGTCTCCCCACGCTGCTGCTGGGGGGACTTTTTAACATAGGCCTCTGTATGGCCTTCAATTTTAGCTGCTTACGCTCCGCCACTCTGCCATGGGCCCCTGTACCGCCTCCTCATGCTGCTGCCAGGCCCGTAATCTGCCATGGGCCCCCGTACCGACTCCTCATGCTGCTGCCAGGCCCGTAATCTGTCATGGGCCCCTGTACCGCCTCCTCATGCTGCTGCCAGGTCCAGAGTGTGTCATGGGTCCCTGTTCCGTCTCCCATTGCTGCTGTCTCCATCGCCACACTCTGCCATGTGCCACTTTCAGGTCTCCTCACACTGCTGGTGGGTTCCATTTTGTCATAGGGTGCTGTATGGCCTCCCATTGCTGCTGCCTCCACCGCCACACTGTGGCTCCACACTCTGGTTTTGGCCCCGTGACTGCCCAAATGAGTGAAGTGTGCGGTGATTCTAAGATCGCCGGAACTCATCTGCATGTCATACTGACTGACAGTATTATTTCTCTTCCCCAGCAGACTCCAAGGGCATTTAAATTAAAGGTACAGTGTTCTGCACTAATATAAAGGCTCTCTGAAGCCTAGAAACACCCTTTTTATAAGTTAAATTCGCAGCGAATATATTCGGCTCGAAGCGAATTTATTCGGCGAATTCGGCGAATCAGCCGAACCGAATTTTTGAATAATTCGCTCATCTCTAGTTATCAGTTCCATCTAGTGATCATAAAAGTTGTATTTTTCTGAACCACTCCATTTTTAATAATTTAACAGCTTGCCCTCCACCCTAAAGCAGAAGTACTGCTACAGGGTGGTATGGCTGCAAAAAATCACATGTATATATACGTGATTTTCATTTTCAGGTACCCGTGCCGCTATTGGCAGCGAGAGATGTCAATCACTGGGTCCTGGCCCGGCAATTCCCGGCCGGCACTCGGCAATCGTTGGGGGAAAAGCTGACAGGGGAGACACCTGTGTATAAACAACATAGGTCTCTCTCCTGTCAGCATGGACATGCTGTTTTGTATCTCTCTGCACAGTCTCCCTAGTAAAACACAACACAGTGCACACAGTAAAATGCACACAGTTAACCCTTTGAGCGCCCTAGATGTTAACCCCTTTCCTGCCCAGTGTCATTAGTACAGTGTCATTGCTTTTTATTTGCACTGATCACTGTAGTGTATGTCATTGACACCAAGTCAGTTCCCCAGTGACAGAATGCCCGCTGCAGTCCTGCAGTCCCGATATAAGTCGCTGATCGTCGCCATTACTAGTAAAAATTAAAAAATTTTAAAAACCCAGTATACATACCCCCATTTGTAAATGCTATAACTTTCATGCAAACCAATTAATTTACATGTATTGGGATTTTGTTTTAGCAAAGACATAGCAGAATACATTTTGGCCTAAATTTATGACGAAATTAGATTTTTAAACATTTTTTTTTACTGGAAATGTTTAATAGCAAAAAGTCAAAAATCTTGTTTTTTTTTCTCAAAATTGTCGTTCTTTTTTTTTTTTTATAGCTCAAGCAATAAAAAATGCACAGGCAATCAAATACCACTGAAAGAAAGCTCTGTTTGTGGAAAATAAAAGGAAGTAAATTTTATTTGGGTGCAGTGTTGCATGACCGCGCAATTGTCAGTTAAAGTAACGCAGTGCCATAATGCAAAAAATGGCCTGGTCAGGAAGGGGGGGGGGGGGGGGGGTAAATCCTCTGGAGGGTAACTTTGATGTCATGAAGATGTTTTCTGATTGGATGACTTGGAGATTGTGATGTCATCAGCCTCTCCTCGTCATCCTTTCCAATCAGAGAATGCTTTGTATCCCTGGAAAAAACTATAGATGTGCTCTCTGAATGGTGACAGTCCTGAGTAAGCTGCTCCATGAGCAGAGGGTAAGCCATTAGAGCAAGAACACTACAATGATTTCCAGCATTCCCGGAGGCCTTTAGGATATCAGATATGGATACTTACATCAAGTCAAGCTGGGCCAATGTAAGTTAGCAAAAAACATAATTTTTGGAATTCTACTTTAAGTATTTCTGCCTATTTCTTACCCCATTGACTAAAGGAGGTTTTTCCCCCTGCACCCTCTGTCACATTTCTAAATCATCAAGGCTGTGCAGGGCCTGTGTACTAAAATACAGACCAAGCAAAAAGCTGTAGTGTCTGCAGGAGCCTTACATTGCACTCGCAAAGATGTGATCGCAGGTGCAATGCTCAGCAGAATGAAAAAAAAAATATGGAAATTTCTTATATTTTTCACAAAGGTCAACTTAGCCTTTAACCCCTGCTATCCAATTTTTATTGCTGAATGTATTTCAGATTTAAATACATCTTTCACATTCATTCTCCTTGCTGCTAATTCATCTTTGCCTTGTTGTTCAACCAAATAGATAAATGTCCCCTCAGTCTTTTTCATTCCCAGCTTTTCATAAAATGTATTCCCAGTAGAGTTAAATCATAAATAAAAAAAAACAATGCTGCTCTGCAAATTAAATGAAAATTGAAATAAATCAAAAATGAAATGAAAAGAAATAAAACATATCTGAAATAAAGTGTCCATGAAAACAAGTCCATAAATGTAAATCATCAGTAATGATTCAATAGTACAATTCTTCACAGATTAATATGCTTCTTGGTGTGCTAATATCCCAACACCATCAGATGAAGTGCTATAGATCATACAGGCAGTGTCACCTCAGTGCTCACAGAACTCTCACCTCAGAGCAATAGAAATGCACTTTGTAATACCAAATACCAAAAGGTTCTTCACTTTCCCAATCATCAACCATATGAGAGTGGTCAGACATCTTTAAGTTTTCAATAAAGCATCAAGCCAGAACTAGAGACTGGTCCCTTTTAAGGAAGTTGGAGGTCACAGCTTTCTAACCTTACTAGAGGAAACAAAGAACACTCTGATGGTGCAGTATGTACTGACAGATGTATTTATTATAACAAGTAGTACACTCACATGTAGAAAACGAATGAAACGTCATGAAATAGGTAAAAAATCACCAAATCCAAGCTGCACTTCCATGCAGCTTCAATCACGATCCACTTCTGCCCAAGGCCACGCCCTTACGTGTTGCGTCATGCCCATGTAACTTCATCAGAGGGAGAGAGAGAGAGACCTCTGTCTCATTCTATCAGGTCCACCTACAATATATCCTGGGACCAGATCATAAATTTACAATTTTAACCTTACTAAAATATCTGATAAGACCAACTCATAATGTCCACCCAACTGCAAACATTTACTAATGACATTTAGGTTTTTACTTCAGTAAAATTTATTATTTTTTTGTATCCATATATGCCTTTTCTGGGTTTCCTAAAACTTAAACACTCTACTTCTGTTTTTGGAGTCTACATTTAGCATTACTATATGCTAACAATATGTTATCTTGTAGGTTAATATTTTATAAAATGTCTTACTTAATCACATTATGATGTTATTATAATTAGTTGAAGTTCAAAGTGTCAGTATGATGTGATAATAGCTTACTGTAGATACAATTCTTGAACAGAAAAGTACCTTGGGATGCATTTAACAATGTTACCTGATGATGTGTGCAATTTGGATCAGAATCTGAGTTTCAGTCAGTTGGGTGGATATTTTCAGTCCTCCCATCATCATCATTAGCTCACTAACAAAGCCCATGATAGCTCTGTTAATATGAATTAACATAGGAAATTATAATAGTAATTGTAAATGGAAATGAAGACATCTGTCATTTTTTTCCACTGACTTTCTGTCTCAGAGACTTAGTAGAAAAGTAAAATAAGATCTTTGCAAGGAAAGAAAATAACCCCTCTTAAACAGTTGTCACCAAGACAAGTTTACCCATTGGAAGGTTTTTCCTTACCTCCTGTCCCTGTGACAGCTCAAAACTGATGCATTTCCCTTCAGGTTTTGATTCACACGGGAGACCATATTCCCTGGCCATGGTGATT